TATTAGGTCCAACAACAATGATTATGTAATGAATATGTAATTACAATTTCGTTAAGGCAAAGCATTTTCTATTTGTATCGAGTTGATACCTGGATTTCCTTTCAGTCCTCAACACCATCATTCCTGGTTTACCAGGAAGACCACTGTCAACGAACAATTTGGTGATTTACTTAGACTTGGTCCGCTTTAACGATTGATACTCTCGAATTGTTAAATGTACGTTGGCTTCACGATAGTTGTGTTCAAAGCGACAATGACGACGAATTGTGGTTTGGATTCGATCGCTGTCTGTAATACGGATCAAATACCAAATAATAGCAGTTGAAATTCTCTTGTTTCGGAAGTTAAGTATCAGTACCTTGTGGGAAGAGGCAAATCTGCTTCATCTTCATACAGGCGTTGCGATGCTGTCTTCATTCTCTTCACCAGGGCCGTCCCTAGCAAGTGCAAAAAATAATTTTGAGTCCCTTAACCAATTTTTTGTAAATCGCAACTCTAGTGAAACGTTTGTTTTGCCACGTGTCCTTTGACTTGAGCCTAAAATAAACATAAAAACGGAGCGCAGCCTAATTGTCTAATGTAATCGTCATGGCCCACTTTGTAATCGGCGCAAGGTCCGCTAACATCCTCACCAATCGATGATATTCAATTCTGCAAGCAAGAAAAAAAAACAATTAAACCAAAGCAATAAAGTGTAGTAAATTAATTACTTTGACTACTTATGTTTGCGGAATTCGTTTCAAATGATTATCATCAAAGACAAGACAAAAACAAAGAAACAAAGAAAAAGAGAATATATTAATTGGAATTTGTCCACGATTTGTGCATGATAAATGTATCATCCTAGTTCTATAGAAGACGCAATCGTCGGCGTCGTTGCATTTGTCTAATATTATTTTAATGGATTTGCATACACATCGATCAATCAATCGATGTGTACGATCTTTAGAAATAGAAATATTTCGTGAATAAAGTGCATTTCTCAAACAGTTTCATCGTGATAAAGGTAAATAGACAACAAACAACATTTCATTTATACAAAGTTTTAAAATAAATCTAAAATATCAAACACATTTTAATGTAAAGATTGTAAAAACGTTATGCATTGGTCTAATTCTATCCTGGTCCCTAAGATTCGGATATAATTTTCCCAATTAATTGTACAACAAATTAAATGTATTAATACAAACTTATTATTATAGAAAGCAAATCCTTTTTCTTCCAACATTTCTATCATTAAAATTATGATTTCAATAAGGTACTTAACTTCACATTTATCAAACGTATATTATGTAGACATTTTTAAATTTCAATCAACTAAATCTTCGGACAGCTTGTCTCCCACAATATCGGTTAATAAATTTATCATTTTATAATATATTTGTGTACCCGAGAGATGACCATTCGCTAAGTAGGCTTCTCACATTTTCTCAAACTCACTCAAGTCCAACTCGACTTCAATCTTCTTGGATGAAATAATCTTTTCGAAAGACATTTTTATAAAAAATTTAACTTCTGTATAAGACAAGAGCAAAACTTGGAATGGCACAATATTGAAACGCAACACTATTTATACCATTTTCAAATGCTACAGCAGTTATTTATCTGCTTTTTCAGTAGAACATTTCTGTATAAAATATATTTTGAGTACTAATATTTTAGAATTTATTTTGATTTTATTCAATTAAAATTGGAAATTTTCAAACCATAAAATTATTGCAAGAAAATAATAAATAATGGTATGTGCACTTACTGAATATTCAGACCCAGTTCTTTCTGAAAATTAAAATGTCATGCAGTAGACAAATTGAATCTTATGCCTTATCACTTAGTTTTGTAAGAATGTTAATGCATTTCATTAAATTATGTACTCTAATTTGTGCAAAATGTACACATGTACAATAACAGGTAAAATACCTTTTCCTCAAAATTCAAAATTGACTTGCGACAAAGTACGATGGAAACTTCATAAACTCAAATTCTTGAAACTATAATTGATGTGCAAGTGCTCACAGATATAAATTTATATTCTTTTATTTGAAACTAATGTTTAAAACCCATACTGAAATAGATTTATTTCTTCATATTGTACATATACATATTTCTTAGAATAAATTATTAATTTCTATAACAAACACATATTAATTCTTATTATTTAATGAATTTAACATTTTTTTTGAACAAGTAGAACAAATTGCTCTTTTAAATAAGTCACAAAACGATACTGTTTTTTTGTCTCTCTCTTGCTTGGACAAACAAAAACAACTGTTTTTTTTTATGGGATGTAAAAATCCGTTCATTGGGTTATATAAATTGAAATACATCTTCGATGTCTAAAAATAAATTATTCTCCTTCAAATGCAGATATACATTGTTACATCTTTGAATTTATTTTAAAACTTAAACTGCACTTTAATTAATTCTGTGAAGGCTTCTTTCTCATTCTTCAATATATTGATAATAGCAAATTTTATAAAATATTCCTCTCTTCTATTTGTATCCTTAACACAAGGATTGGATCTTTCAAATTTCTTGAGTATTTTTGTAAAAAACCTGGGGCATAAATTCCGTCGAATCGGATCGTTAAGAAATAATGTTTTCAGGAGCACTCGATGTGCGAGTTTAATTTGTAAATTATTGGTATGCGAAAGAGTAAAAAAATACACATTTGGAGTACTTTTCTTTTTATGTCGTAATAATTTTTTTCACAATATGTTCATCAATGTGAACATTGACATTAAATGGATAAGCTTTCCCGGTGGATAGTTACCATTATGATCAGTTTGAACATTGATAATTACTTAAATCTAGTGGTATCTAACGTTTCAGCCTGTTTGTGGTTTCACTGTTGTCGAGTTGGTCAATAGCCAGAACATTAGTGTGTGATACAGTCTATCTTGGTATGTACTACTAAATGTTGGCATTGTATCCTCGACCATATCTATATGAAGATCTTCTAGTATGTATTTATTTTTAAAGAACCATGGAGCCCTAATAATATTTCTTAGGCATATTGATTGGAACCTTTGTATAATTTGTATGATCGATTTACTGGCCTCACCCCACAATTGGATACTGGTTTCAGTATTACTTTGTATATAAATAATTTATTTTCCACTGATAATTCCGACCTTTTGCCTAGAAGCCATCTTCTGTCGAGATGCATTCCTAAATATTTAACTTTTATTGCTTTCGGCAGATCTTGTCCATTAAATCTTACAGTTGGGCAGGTGTTGCACGGATTTCATTTCGTTAACAACTATTCTCCATTTTTTAAGCCAATCTTGTAGCTTATCTAAATTTTCCTGTAGATATTCGGATGCTACTGCTGGATTCTCATCTAATGCCAAGATTGCTGTATCATCAGCGAATGATGCAATCGTAGTATTGCTAGCTTTAGAAATATAAGAAGGAAAAGCAGTGGTTCTAAAACACTTATCTGTGGCACCCCTGATTCTATTGGATCGGTGTATTCGTCTTCTATTTTTACATGTTTCAGGTATGATTTTATTATTTTAAAATAATTATATGGCAAGTTCTACGAATTCTTGAAAAATAAACTTATGGAGTGTACTTTAATACATATCCGAAGTTGCTTTTTCAGCATCTGAAGGCATTAAGTCGAAGAAGAAGGGACAAGCTTTTGAATTTTATCTGAGATTAACAACCAGAGAACCAAATTATGATGATATGTTGTCTCAACAAATAAAATAAGTATATTTTGATTGTTATTAAAGTATATGGATTTTTTTTGACCAGGGGTACTGAGTCTTCCGAAAATTGTAGAAGGAGTACACAGATGTTAATTGTTTGGGGAAAGACTGGTTTAGAACGAAGAAGGTGTTTGCTTTCTTACTTTAGCAATCCGATTTTTGTCGTCGAAATAGATGACCAAATTTGATTTTTTATCATTTAGAAAAAAATGCACAGCACAGATGCGAAATACAATGAACACAAAATGAATTTAATATATATTTGTAAAGTGAAGAAATCGTAAACAAAGACTTTTAAAAACTATTTTTATTTGTAACATCAAAACTTACAAAATACTAATATTTTCGCAGCCTCCAGTTTAAGAATCGTTGTTATAGGCAACTAACATATCTTAATTAAAATATTTACCGATTTATATATTTTGTAATTTGGAAAGTTTCCAATGGGAAACTATTCCGCTCATTGTCATATTTTGTTATATTCTCCAAACTATTTACTCATTGTCGGCATGTGAAAGATTGTAAATAATAAATTTATTACGAAATTAAAACCAAATTGATTTGCTGCAAAGGTCTACCAATCATTATTTGTTTAGTGAGAAATAAAGAAGTCATTTTTACTAGTCGCATTTTTATTAATTTGCCCACCTCCTCCTCACTGTCCATTCTTTTCATCTGCATATATCTCACTGCATTCATCTGTTTTCCCCTCCGCTGCGGAATGTTTGCATGCATACACATACATACCTACAGACATACGTATTCACGCACCCAGAGACGTACAGTTTATTTACTTTTCATTCTCCGACATTTTGGCTCTCTCGCTCGCTCGCCCACCGCAATAACAATACATAAATCAGTGGTGCAACTGTTTGTTGCTTATTTTTAGGGTGGTCGAGGAGCGTGCCAAATGCAGAGCATCCAGATTCAATACAGTTATTTTAAACATAAACTTATTCACAAAAGTAATAATAATAGTAGTAGTAATAATAACAGTAGCAGCAGCAGAAGTAATAGTAATTGTAGTTAATGGTAGGAGTACAGCCACACGACCACTCATACATAAATAGAAACAATAAATAAGTAATAATTACATTATGACGAGGCGAGAGGAATAATGCGGACAAACGAATTTCCATCATAAACAATGATCGATCGAATAGAAAAAGGAAACTCGTTAGACATATATAATTATAATAAAAAAAAACATAAACCTCTTCTCTTCAACAACGTAAATAAGTAATAATAATACATATATTATATAAATATAATAATGACTAGACTCGTAACAATCACATAATAATTGTAATATATATAAAACAATAACGTGTATTCTACGCTTTCTCTTCTCCTTCTATATTCTTTATATTTCGAAAATAATTTCTTGTTGCCGGTAACTAAATTAGGAAACTGCACGAAGAAGAACTGATTTTGGCACTGGCGTTTCTCCGCTCCGAAATAAATAATGCAATGTGCACATCGTACTCGTCCGTTACCGTCACTCTGGCTCTGGTTTTCCGTACTTCTGTTACTATTATTTAGTTTTGGTTTTTGGTTAATCGCTTTCAAGTGTTCATATTTTATTTTTTTATTGTGATTCTTCTTTTGGCGCTCACTCGATGCCAAATGTGTTGGTCTCTTCGACGGCGAGCAGAAGTTTCTCGTAGAGGACCTCGGACGTCGGGTAAGGAGGTAGATCGAGGCGATTGAAGCAGGTGTGCGCCCTAGGTAGACTATTGGGTTTCCCCCATTTTTCTATGCAGAATTTCCTGGGTCCGATGGAGCCCCGGAGAGCCGCGAAACCCTCGAAGGGTATACTCGACGTGCCTGTCACGAATTGAAGAAGTCGCAAACGCTGCTCGTTGGTGAATCTGCAAGAAACAATGAATTAGAATTGAGGATAGGATAATTGGTATCAGGACGTACCTTTCTATGGCCTGCCAGAACCATTGAACTACCGGATGACCGTCGTGATATCCACCTCGGTATTCGGTGTTTGATCTCCAGTCGTGAAGATCAATCTCCGCGGTGCCGGCCATCACCAACTCGAGTTCGCGGGCATCGAAGACGGCGACCAGCCGAGGATCCACGACTTCGTAGAATCCTCTTACCAAAGACTCCGTCTGCTCGGCGACTCCGCGTTCCAACCTCCATCTGACCATTCGCTCTAAGTACTCCTTCTTGTTCTTTTCCGTTACCGGCACATTCCTACCGCCCGGCTTGAGCTCGCGCTCTAGCACCTGCCCGAACACCTCTTCGGTGACGGCAAACGTCAGTTCGAGTTCGCCCTGGCCGGAGACGTCGTGATCCTTGATCCATTGCAACGATTGATGGAACTCAAAGTCGAGGCTCTCCAAGTCCGAGAGGGCGACGGGAAGGCGCAGCAGAGCCTTGTAGAAAGGACGTGTGAAGAAAGCGTCCAGAAGATATTGATGGACCAACGCCAAACCCAACACTCTACCACTAAACCGAAACCTACAAACAAAAAACACATTATTAATAATCAACTATTTATGCACTGCTTTATACACAAAATATGTGTAATATTTTAGGATGATATTTATATTTTTTGATAATTACTATTGATTTGTTATCTGATAGTAACTAAAACTAAACTCACCAATCGTGGTAGTTATCAACGAATGCAGACATCGGCGATACCTGGACAGTGTAGGTGTCATTGGCGGAGTACTCGAAGAGTCCGTAATAGGGATTAAAGAGTTCTCTCGATAGCAGAAAGAAGAATTCTCTGGACGGACCGCCGTAATCGAGACCCTCCTCCATGTCCCACACCACGCACAGTTTACCCTTTTGCAGCTCCTTCTTGTTGGCCGACATTATCCTGCGGAACGCATCCTCCAACAGATGTTCTCGCCTAATATGAAGCCTGCAAAAAGTAAAGACAAATTAAGAAACAAAATTCTTTTACAACCAGTATCGTTCACTTACTTGAACTTGCCCGGACCCTGGCCGTATCCTTTGCTCTCCAACTTTCGGTAAAAGTTCCTCAGCTTAGCTTCGAAGTCCCTACGGTGTGGCGCCTGCGTCCTGTGCCTGCCCAAGCCCGGCGACGCCACCGGAGATGGCTGAGGTGACCCTCTTGGACTTCTTCCAGAAGGAGCGACTGCTGTTGTTGTCGTCGAAGAGGTCGTTGTCGAAGACGACGACGATGAAGACGACGTCGACGACACGGCCGGAACATACGACATAATCTCATGTTCGAACAGGCTGCAAAAAGAACAAAAGCATATAGATGATGAAGAAAGAAATGATTGCGTCAATCGAGGGTGATAGATGTAAAGAAGAGACGCATCGCATTGTAATCGTGCGTGCGCCTGGAAACTAGGTTAATACATTAATTAATCTACGAATTTTACCACGCCGCTTCAGATTTAGCGCGTTTCGCTCTTATAAACTTACAGCGAAATGCTCTCGAACACAAGAAAAAAAACACGAAGAAACGTTTCTATGCGATCTAATTACATTTCTCCCTCACGCGTTTAAACTAATCCAAAGTAAATAAAAAAACACACAATTAAATGAAATTCGCGAAACTAATTGTTCCTTACTTAAATAACTTTAAAAAAAAACAAAAAAATAGAACAATAGACATTTACAGTTAGTATTTCAAAACAAAAGATCATTGTAATTTTGCCAACTTTAAAATTAAATGTAATACACTGGTGTATAAACACTACACTCCACAGATCCAATTCGTAGTTATAGAAATCGTTGATAATGACACAAAAACTAAATATTCATTTTAAAAAAATATTTCTAAATTAGAAATAATTTTAAAATGTCTGGTTAGTCTTGAAAAACTAACTTTTTGACATATTTGTATTGTCTTTAATTGACATGTATAACAACTTCAATAATGTATGTCACTATATTTAATACTTTATAATTTTGTGATATTCACTAGGTTTAACTTCGCATGTCATATGTCATGTGAATGCATCTTTTATAAGAGGACAAAGCAATTTATTATATTATACCCATCAAATTTAATAACAAATAATTATATATACATATCGATTTCGTATTCACTGACAATAATTGCATACAATGAATCATAGATAATTATTCTGTTTGGAATTGAAGAACAATCAATTTGCTATATTCGAAATTATATATTATTTTCACATTAAAACAATTTATTTTAAATTCAAAGAATTTTTACAACATTGATAGTGCATTTTCTTTTCCACCAAGCAACGAGGGGAAATTACATAAGTTACCCCAGATCAGCGTTTATAGCGAAAGGAAAGTCGCGAATTTCTCTTCTAATCGCTCGACTAGAAAGAAAAAACAACACGTGCACATTAACCCAACAAAAAATAAATAATTTGAGAATTCAAATCCGATTAAAATTTAGTTTAACGCTGCACTAATTAAATTATTAATTAATTAGGGCAGATTATAATATTAATGTGTTCGTTGTTCAAGCATAAATGAAAATAAAATCAAACATAGATTTCTTCTGCAACGGAACGGACAATCTAAATTCGAGGTAAAGGTGTAATTACTCTATACGCTTTGATGCGTTTCGACCGAACGGATTATTCATTTCTCGTTTCAATATAATTTTTATACAAAGATTAAACAATAACAACAACAACAACAAAAAGAATGAACATTGAAGAAATCGGTTCACATTGCGAAGTTTACAGCAAATGCACACACGTGTCTTTTTTATATATTATATGTATTTTTTCCATTCCATTCGCATTGTTTCCAATTTGCACATACACATTACATAACAAACCTAATGAGGTGGACGGGAGGAGAAAGAAGCATTTGCGTGTTCCTTCGTTCTTTAATTGCCCGACCTTCCCTTCCGATCGACTACTTTTCCATGCATAAACCAGAGAAATAACAGAATACGCATAAGTGGATTCTTTTGCGACACAACCGAACGTAAAATCGTCTATCTTCAAGTTTGTAAATCTATCTTCAACTAAAAATTATTTAGTCGAAACGCAATCAACCAAACCAACAAAAAAAAATCAAATACAGATAAGCCTGTAAAGACCGACGACCTGTGTGTTTCCGCTCGAAATATGATATGTTCTATACCAAAAAGTGATATAAAGCCAGCATTCAGTTAACTTACATATTGTATAGACACATTTTATTAGATAAATTCTTAATAAATTTAACTTACGATTTATTTGATACCAATTTCTCTTTTAGTTCGCACGAACGTACTCTATATTCACACGAACGTACATTTTACAGTTGGAATACTGCAGCATTTTTTTATTTCAGTAATATGTTACGTTATTTATTTATTTATGTTCTTAAATCTTTAAAAAAAACACTGATAACACTTTAATCAGACATAAACTGAAGTCAAATACAAAATATACACAGCAGCCAACTTGTCCCACTGACATTGTATCTTAATATTGATATTTGTGCGTTTTACTATTTCAATTTAATTTCATTCATTTAAACCGTTTTGTTTTTTTTTTATTAATTTTGATAAAACACGGACTAATATAAATACTCCATACTGACATTGTATGTTCGTACGGATATTTGTACTGAACTAATCATGTACGTATTACCGAACGCGCATTTTATTTCAGATTAAATTTTCCATGGCAACGTTCCGGCAATTATCCTTATATCAGTGTACCAAACCAATTAACGAAATGCTGGATTTCGCGTCAAATTCCATTTAAAAAAAAACTTTTTAATGGGCTTTTAGCGCGCTCGGAAGCGAAAATATATATAAAAAGCAAGCGTAACATTTTGTAATCTTAACGCTACTTAACTTAAAGAAGGTCGAATACTCAACGTATCTATGCAAACAGAAATAAACAATAATCCGAATAGATTTTACATCCCGATCATCCATCCACAGTTGCGTGTACGTAATCTTTTGTTTCAACTTTAAATTATTGCAGGGCAATTTACTGCACACTTTGCGATGTAAGGTAACAAACAGATCAAAAGAGAGAAAGAGAAAGAACAAACGATTCGATCACTGCCTTAAATAATAATTAAATGATCGCCGTTAACCGTGATGCAAGGCCTGAAAGTGATTCGAGTGCAACAGAAACAATTGCAAGGCAAGAGCAAGCGCGATTTGACATGAGGTCACTCTCATCGAAAAACTTAGTCATGATTTACGTCTAGAATTTTTAACAAATATGCATAAAAAATAAACTACAACTTTATACTTTCAAATTGTTCGTCTTTCTCTCTCCCTTTTACTCTTCTCTTGTTTCTATCACAAGGATGACATCACTTCAATTTTCGGGCCGGCAAAAGTAATTAAAACTACACTAATATGAATTAATTTAACTTGAAAAAAATAATTATATCTGCATATCGCATGAGTCACGAGATCACACAAAAATAAATGCATTTATATAAATATGCAACATTCTTTAACTCGCAATATCCAGTTTTAAGGATTAAAAAAAAATAGATTAATTTTTATGTTTCTTTTTAAGTTTATGAAATTATGTTCAAAACAATGTTATGTTGTTGTTAATTTTATTGTGAAAATATGATCAATTTATGTTAAACGCAACTTTGTTTTCGAATACAAAACAATCCAAAATATTGGTGATCAGCTGCGATCATCAATGACACATCCATTTATTTTGCCGTTAAAATGTAAATTGTAAATCGAACGTAATGCCTAAAAAAAATAATTGTAATGTTGACAAATCGTTATTTACTTATGAATGATTACATGCTTCGCCTTATCTAAACACTCGACACACATTCGAATTGTAAAACGAATTGTTTATCCGGTATAAGAATTGGCGTTTTGATTTATTTATTTACGGAAAACGATTTAATCTTGTCGTCGTTCACGTAACAACAATTAATTGCATCAATTATTATTAGTCATATGTAGAATGGATCATCTGCTCGAAGCGATGAAGTAATTTTCAGGAAAGAGCAAAAAAACAAGACAGTTCAACTTTGATTCGTAATTACGTGAAACTATAATAATGATAGATAAGTTTATAAAGAAGTAACGAAGTAAACTAGTTGATAGGAGCATTGCACCGGGAATCTGGTGCGTGGTAAATATGACGCTCCATTCTTTTGCTCGTGTTTTGGGGGCCCGAAGCATCGCTGTAACAACTACTACAGACACCACCGCAGCGCAACTTCTTCCTAAATGATGATTCAATTTTAATTATAGACGAGCGCCCTTTTCACCCCAAGGTCATAGAAGTATCCATCGGGAAGCTGCAGCAAGTGTTCTCCACATGTGCATTTTCGGTTAAGAAGCGAAATAGTATTTACCAAACGCTTATCACGTAATTTATTGAACTTATTTGTAACCCGACGTTAAATGTAACGGAAAGTCATAGACAAAGTTCAATATTCAAATTCAAATTGTTGTAAATAAGATGATGGACTTACAGGCTGAATATGATCCCGAACGTTTTGGTCACTATTCCCATTATACCAAATTCTTGAAATCAGAGCAAGCAAAGAACTAGCACTTCCGTTGCACCGTAAACACTTTGAAGAAGTTTCCGGAAAAATCTCATTATTTCGAAATATCCACTGTTTTTAGTATCGGCGCTTGCACTTGCTTGTATTGAGAGGGAATAAACACTGCAGGAGACCGATCCACCGCTTCGGAATAGTGCGACCGATCGACTGTGGTGAAGAGCGTTCGGTCTATAATGCGTGTTGTGCAGTTGCGGTTACAACTACTACTACCTACACCACCCGACGCCGTGGAGGAGTATAGTATAATACACTTCACTCGGAGCAAGCTATTATCGTCGTCCTGGCCCCCCTCGGCGTAGTGGGGACCGAAAATAACGAAAAACGAGACGAGATAATATATCACAAAAAAAAAGCAGATCCTTTACCGATAACAAAATAAAAATGCAGAAGAACACAATTAACAATCGTTCAAGGGAATTATCAGGTCGTCACATCCTAGGGTTCGGCCCTTAGACGCGCTCGAAACCCATCCGCGGAACGGAAGCGCCCTTCGCATTTCGCACGCAACGACCGGAAGCGAACTCATTTAATCTCGCAATTAACAAAAAGTTGTTAACGAGCCGCAATTTTAATACGAATTTGCGAAGACCGTTTCAAGTATGCAGCTGGGTAAATATAAATAGTTGGGCCGTCTGCCAATTGGACATCTGAATTATTCTGCGGAACGCTAATAAAATTGTAAATTTAATTTCGAATTGCTCAATTAGTTAATTTAGTGAATTTAATTAAGCAAG